CGGCTGGGTGATCTCTGCTCGGGACAAGGCGGTTTAGTGACGGGGGAACGCGCGACCAGGCTTAAAGTATGGCAAGCAAAGATGGTTTCTGCCAAGGAGCCCGCGATCGCTGCGTCTTCGGCTCTGGCTGTCACCTTCGTACACCTCCTGTGCTTGGCGACCTGGTGAGTGCGGGGAGAGATCCTCCTGACGACGACGCCCTCCGATTTCCTTAAACCTTTCCTCGATCCTCCAGACCTTTGCGCCGGGGGAGGCGGGGAAGGCTTGGAAACAGAAACGAGAGGGCGGAGGGGGGGGGGAGAAGGGAGTTAATAAAGAGTGGATCAAAACCTTTCGACCACCTCTCACGTTCCCCCCCCCCGGCACCCCTAGGGGTCTTTCTTCTCTCTCTCGCCTTACCCCTTTCTTTTCTACTTCCTCCCTTCTTCGTTTCTTCATCTTTCTTATCCCTGGCCCCTTTGTGCCCCTACTCTAACGCGTCCCCCTCCCCTTTCCTTTCCCGCCTGACAGTCTCACCGTACTCCCGGGACAGCTCAAAAAGGAGGAGAAATTATGGCCGGAGAATTTCACACGCATCCTGGACCGTCTCCTGGATGGTTATGACAACAGGCTGCGTCCTGGATTTGGGGGTATGGTTACTGTGCACGGTCCCTGCCTGTCCCTGTCTGTGATGAGTCTGGCTGTGTGTCTTGTCTGTGGGGGAAAATTCGCCTAGGTATGCTTCTGTGCCTTTCCAAACGAACAAACGAACGAAGTAACCCTGATCTTTGTGTTTCATTGATTGATTTTGTTGACAAATTCAGATTGATCTCCTCTCCCCCACCCCCCCTCTTTGGCTCCAGTTCTCCCACAGCTGCTCCCTTTGATGGGGAGGAGGAGAAAAGAGGAGGGGGGAGTGGACGGAATAAAGAGTAGATCTATTTAGAGATCCTGCTGATTGCTGCCCCCCACCTCCACTCAACAACACCATTCCCAAGCGGGCTGTCCAAACCTGATCCTTTTACGCTTGGATGCAACTAAGTCACACTCCTTTGGCTTTAGCCCATCTACTAAGCCCTGTTTCCTGGGTCCCTTCTTGGGATTTTGGCAACAGCCATCCGTCAACATTCCAGGACATGTAACATGAGTAAGGAGGAAGTTTTGCCACCTCCTCCTCCTGGTAGTGGAACTCTCTCACACACATACACACACACAAACACACATAGCCTTGGCGATCCAGCGCTGGTAAGGTCAGCAGCTGCTGGCCAGAGCCTGGGTTCTTTTGGGGATCTCTCTCTCTTTTTGTTGCCAGGTTAAGTGGAAAAAAAGGGGGGGATTTAGCAGCCAGTCTCCTCTTTCCTTCCACCACCACCTCATCTGTGGATCCTGTACAGCCATGGAAAGAGAGAAGTTGGGAGTCAGTTGTTTGGATCCTGCCACTTTGGGGGCAGCAGCCACTTGGCATTCTGTCAAGGCAGAGCAAGTGCAGCTGCTGCTTCTCGATTAAAAACACACCCGCACGCTCTGATGCTCCAGCAGCAGCGACAGGGAGAAAATAAATAATATATCTAAACAAAGGCTGGAAATCTTTCACCTGCTTCTGACTCGATCTTGGCAACTGTGTTCATCCTCCCCAAATCCCATCCAGAAAGTGTAAACGTTCCCCTTTCTTCCTAACATTTGCACTCCCCAAATGTCTATGATTTTGAAAGCATACCATGTTTCCCTGAAAATAAGACAGGGTCTTATATTGATTTTTGCTCCAAAAACACATTAGAGTTTATTTTCAGGGGATGTTTTATTTCACCGTCATGTTATCTTCTGGTTGCCGCACAATGCTGTACAATGGTGGAGGGCGGGGTTTCACTTAACTGGGGCTTATTTTTGGGGTAAGGCTTATATTATGAGCATCCTGAAAAATCATACTAGGGCTTATTTTCAGGTTAGGTCTTATTTTCGGGGAAACAGGGTATATATGCGTATATCTAAAAGTAGGTTTCCTTCTGCTGTTCCTAATGACATTTTTCCTGGCTTTTACTCAATCCCACCCCCATGTGTCACTCCTCCTCTCCATTCTTTTGATATGGTGGATTTGGGTGAGTGGGGAGTTTAGATCAGAATCAACTAAAAAGGGCAGATTTGTGATGGAAGCAGGATTGCTTGAGTGTATGACCTGATCCAAGGAATACTTCAAATCATACATTCTTCCCCTCCTTTTATGGTAGTATGTTAAGGGTTGGTTTCAAATCTTCCTTGCTGCTGGAGAGGTGTATTATGTCAAAATGTAGGATGAGGTGATAAAGATGTTTCTGGACTACTGTGCAATGAGCACCAAAAGAAGACTTTGCCTAGGCTTGCTTTGGAGAAACATGGTGCTTCTTTATTCAAATGCTTAGTTTAGACATGTACGACACCTACGCTGGCATCTATGCCCATCATTTCTATATATGCTTTTCTCCAGTGCAGACGTAAACTTAATGGGAAGCTATGGGTTTTTGTTTCTTCTAGTCGTTCTTGCAGGGGTGTTGGGCTTTCTCTGAGATCCGGTTGAGAACATGACATGTAGAGGAAGATAACCGTATCAAAGCGTTAGAAACAGTTATACAATTGCAGTGTGACTTTTCTAGATTGGTCATTGTTGTATGCTTCTGCCTAAGGTGTGTGTATAGATGAAGATTTTGTCTGTTCTAAAACATGTTAGCTTCTTGATGCAGGTGCATTAGTGAGATGAGGTTGTTTTACTTGGCCGGCTTCTGTTAGTGGAAGGTTGTGAATACTTTTTGAGTTATAGACAGCTCTTGACCAGGAAGAATGGGAAAGCAGCCCAGTGTTCTGTAGCTAAGATACAAAGAACTGTGCCACCTGCAGAATTTGGAAATGTTACTTTTTTGATTGATATTGTTAAGTCCCGTCAAATTGCCTCCAATTTATGGCAATTCTAATCATGTTTTCGCGGTATGTCAGATGTTTAAGGCGTGGGTTACTACTTCCCATCTCTGACCCCTCAGTGACTTTCCATGACTGAGCAAGGATTTGAATGTAATTTTCCTGCATCCCAGTCTGACATTCTATTCACTACACCACTTTGGCTTTTTGCACTACAGTTCCTGTAATCCAGTGGCCATGCTAGTTGAGGGCTTCTGGGAGTTGTAGTTTAAACAGTCAAATCTCCAGGCTTTGGTCATTTGTTACTCACATGTAAAGGGGGCAATCAGCATGTGGGTTTTGGATTGCACCTCCTCTTGTCATGGAGAAAATTGCTATAGAAACTGAATGGAGTTTCAAAAGCATCCTGTTGTAAGGTATGGGAACCTGCTATTTGGGGTGCAGAGGTAGAAAACTCTACTGAGAACAACTGCTTAAGCAAAGCATGGTCCTAATACATGACTACATGCACTTACTCTCTGGATAGTGAATTTTGGATTGCAGTCCCAGGGCAGATTTTTTGATCCTAGCCCAACCTTTTCCAATCTGCTGTGCTTCAGACATGTTTGACCACAATTCCAAGTCTTCAGACAACCTGAGAAGGATGAGAGTTGCAGCCACATGCAGTGGAAGGAGGGCATCAGGTTGGAGAAGGCTGTACATTTATATACTACATGGAACAAAAGCAAATGTAGCTATGTAATATTTAAGATGTTGCTTCAAACATATAGTGGCCTAATAATTGTTTTTGTATCACTATTTGCTTATTGAGTAACAGTTGTAATGCCCAAAAAGTACAAGGGCTTATAGTTATGTAATATTTGATGGGCCTCCAAATTTAAATGTCTTCCTTCTAATAGTTATATTTTCCCTTTTAAAGATTGAAAAGTACGTAAAAATTATAATGTTATTTGGATGAACCAACTTACATATTTTCATTTAGAAGTAATAGGGATGTAAATCTTTGCTTATTTTGTTTTTACCAGAGAGAATGAGCAATTTCAAAAGTGTTTTCCCTGCTAGATGAGATTATAGATGTTTTGGTAAATGTTTTGCTTTTTGGAACACTTTCATTTGAAATGTCTGGAAGTGATTCTTGGGCAAAACCTATATTTTTAACGTAGAAAACAATTTGCACGAAATCCGAGTTTTTGCATGAAATCCACTCCCTGCTCTAAATGTTACTGCTGAAATATCAGAAAACTATTGTCTTACTGTATCATTCAGAAAGTAATTCTTGTATTCATTCATGCCATTCCCTTAGGGTGGCATTTAAATCAGCATTTCTTCTCTGCATTGTGGCATGGAAGAACCAGGCCAGGTGAAAAATAACAATACAAAGTATATTGTTATGCGTTTTTTTTTAAGGAAAACTTTTATTTTCAGCTGCAGGTTAGAGAATCATCCAGCCAGCTTGTCAGTACCAGCTGGGGTTTTCTGTAAAATGCAATCCAAAAAAGTAAATTTTGTGGATCAAATCCGTCATCATTAAGCTTCCCATGCAAATGCAGGCCACCAGGATCCTTTAGTGTAGTGTGATCCTATGTAAAAGACACACACAATTGGGTGAATTTGCATTTTGATTTGACTCACACATGCTCCTGGATGTGTATGTAACGGGCTCTTCAAAACCAGAAACCAAGAGCTTGAAGTTGAAGACCACAGGAGATGGTTTCAATTTTACACAGCTATATGTGACTTCACCTACCTGAATGGCTGGTCTGTATAAAACTATAGCAGTGAAAGGCATCTGCAGGGACCATCTGTTGGTTAGATAATAGAGAAGGTTTTTTTTTCCTTTTCTTTACTAGTTTCATTTATATCCCACACTTCCTTCGGTGAGTACATTAACTCTTTCTTTACTTTATTTTTACAACAACCCTGCAAAATCAGTCAAGCTGAGAGAAAGTGATTTTCCTGAGATCACCTAGGGAGTGTCATGGCATAGCAGAGACATGAATCTTGGTTAACCAAGTCCCAGTACAATAGTGGGTAACTAACATACAACGCTGGTTCTGGTGTACTTGAACGAGTGAAGGTCACAAGTGGGTATGTGTTCAGATATAAGAGCAGAGAAATAAGTATGGCAGAATCACACAAGATTCTGAAAGCAAAGACAGAGTAGGTAGTTAGTCAAGAACCTAACTTAAGAGTTAAAGAAGGATGACAAATGGCAATGATACTTTTGGCAGGAGTGTATTGGATAGAAGGGACTGTTTAAACCAAGACAACAGAAGACCATTTAATGTGTAGAATAGATATGGCTTTTGGAAGAGTTCAGAGTCAACAGCACCACATCATTTTGACATGGCACTGTCAGTGCCATCTGTACCATGAGGCAGAGTGAGGCAGCTGCCTCAAATGATGGAGTAGTGGGGACTGACATTGATAAGGGCTTGGAAGATGAGCTAGGTGGCTCACACGATGTTTACCCCCTAATCTGGCCTGCCATTCTTAGGAAGAGGCTGTGTCAGTGTCAAAATAAGATTCAGCTGCCCTTCCAAACAACTTCTCTACATGGAATGTACCACTTTGATCTTGGCCTCAGGCAACAAAATGTCTTTAGCCCCATACACGAGAGCTTTTTGGAAATATGATCATAAAGTGGGGTTTAAGCCGTGTTCATATTTAGAAAGAAATTTTTTAAAAAGAATTGAAATGAAGCTTTTCAAATCTGTGTTGGCTTTTAGAGCACTTCTTATGTGTGCTATTTCCTCTAGCTGAA